GCTTAAAACCCAATTCCCCCCAGCTCCAGTAAACGTACAAGAGTCCCTGCTGGGGCTCTTGTATATTTCAAAGCAGAAGCAATGCATGGGGCTCACAGCAGTGGGGGAGTCTGAGTCCCCTCTTGGTCCCAGGCTCCATGCAGTGTTTCAGTCTTTGAAATTCACAAGAGCCCCTTTTGGGGCTCTTGTGCATTTCAAAGGTGGAACACTGCACAACAATTCCACCTTTGAAATGTAGCAATAGCCAGGTGGGCTCTTGCTTCCTTTCAAAGTAGAAGCACCCTTATCGACTAATCGAACAGTCGATGGAAATTCCATCAACGATTCAATTAGTTGATTACTTTTAACATTCCAATCACAGGGTGGGGGGCAGTCAGGCCTATGAGGCCCTTCAAGTGGTGCTCAACCCCACTTGCTTACCAATTAGGAAAAGAGGGAGGGGCTATCCCTCCCCTCCTGATTATATCCAGATCTCATCCCTGGCTGTATGCTCTGGCTGCTCAAGTCAATAATCACACCCCTTCCTGTATGGCAGCATGATCTAGCAGCCAAAGTCAATGGCAATGCCCTTCTCTGCACAGCAATGTGTTTTAGCTGCCAGAATCAGTGGGGTGCAGGCAAGGATGAGGTAGGAGAACAAGGGCCCACCCTCTCCAACCGGTCTCAGCCCAGGGCTACCTCAGCAGTGGAGTGGTTCAATGTTTTCTTCCACATAGCCACTCTGAGCTACTTCCTACCAGTCTCTCCAGTACAGGCATCCCCAGCTCTTTCCAGGCTGGGGGCTTCTCTTACAGTTCCCCACTGACTGGCCTCTGTGTCTTAGTATTTCTGCAGGTCCTCCTCAGGAGCACCAGCATCACCTCCTTCGTCAGCAGCAGTAAGCCCTGAATGAGCTGCTCCACAGGCTTTTATACCTGTTCTCCAGCTCAAGCAAGCCCAGCAGGGTTGTGGGGACAGGTCTTACTCAGCGAGGTGGACAGGGTGAACCTTCGCAGCCCCAACATGGGGTTGGTACATTCTGTCACGAGGCCTCTCAATTTTGGACCTCACTGTCTCCCATCCCGGTCCAAAACAGCACTCTGTTGACATTAAAATTCTCAAAGAGGTGAAACTCTAATTTTAAAAGTATAATATCAGAAGGGAAATAATTTTCTACACTTTAAAGGACATGTTACAAATAAAATCTTTTTTTTAAAAAGCCACAACTATGGTCTGTTGTTTACAGCCACATTCTTTAGGAATATAAACAGAGCCTGAGCTAAGAGACTGAAGAGAAAAGGCAAGCCCTTCCAAATATGTTTTTTAATCATCATTTTCAGCTAAAGAATGAAACTAACTCCCAACTGTTTTCAATTTAATTTTAGGAACACCCAGCAATGCAATACTGTATGTTTTGATTTGAAGCTTACACACTAGCAGCTCAACCAGAGCACACAAAGCAAGACCATTTAGCACATAAATTAATAAAACTTTAGAATGTATTGCTGGGTGACCAGAAGCCAGTGCAGACTTCATATCACTTTTATTTGTATTCATGACCTTAGCTTTAGTTTGGCTGATGATTTCATTATTCAGCTAGCCTCCAGGGCTGTGTCTACATTGGCACCCCTTTCCAGAAAAGGGATGCTAATGTAGACTTCGGAATAGCAAAATCCGTGGGGGATTTAACATTAACATGGCTGCTGCTTTTTTCCAGCTTGGGGATAAGCCGGAGAAAAGCGCCAGTCTAGACGTGATTCTCCGGAAAATAAGCCATTTTCCGGAGGATCTCTTATTCCTACTTTCAAGGAATCCCCCGCGGATTTTGCTATTCCGAAGTCTACATTAGCATCCCTTTTCCGGAAAGGGGTGCCAATGTAGACACAGCCCAGATGTTTTGTGGCAGTACATTTAGTTCTTTCAGGATCCTCCCCACAAATGTGATAGAGCTACCATGGTAGGAATAGGAGGTGACTTAAAGCCACCCTTTCACAAACCCTTCTGCCCTGTGTTGAGTTCCACTCACCTGTAATTGATCCTCTGATTTTGCTATCTTAAGGGTATTTGAGACATAAATAACAAATAGTCAGCTAGGGCTGCCACCTTTCTAATGGCTGGGAACTGCTCCCATCTTTGCCTTGTCCCCCAGGAGCCACCCCATCTCTCACTCCTTTCCTTGCTTCTTCCCATAGGGTTGCTACATCTGCCCACACATCTTAGGGAAAATAAACACAATCTGCACTCGAAGGGATTTTCATTGACGGATGTTCATTTGCACTTCTTCATTTCCATACATGTGCACACAGTGGGAGGTTTATTTCATAAGCACAGTTGTTCGGGGGAGCAGGGGAAGGGAGATCCCCCATTTGTATATACAGCTGGTTTGAAAGGGAGCACATTCTTAAGTACTTTGCAGATTTGGGGCTCTGAGAAAATCATGAGTGTTTGAAAATTTGAGGCTCTACTTTAATCTAATGAAACATTCTTTACATTCCTCCCATATACTCACATTATGTTTATATTACTCTCTTCTACCATAATCTGTTCAACCCCTGGCACAGCCATTTGTTTTTAAGATAAACTGTTTATTTTCTGGTCTCAGATGCTCTGGGGCTTTCATAAGGGAGAAAGAAAATAGTTCAGAACATTCCAAACTGGCCAACAAATGCAATTAAAAAAACCAAAATGTTGGCTGACTCTCAGGTTGAGATTCAGCCAACGTGTTCATAAAGTTTTCAGAGGTAAATCTTACAGTTAATCACCTCTATCCTTGCCAGGAAAAACAGAGAGTTGAAAATTATATGTCTTTCCTGTGTAACTGACAGCTTGGTAGTAGATTAGGTATAAAGAAAGAACTCCTTTCATGTAAAAATTAACTCGTAGGAGGAAAAAAATGTTCAATTATATCAGTATTCTGCGTTCATTGGGCCTGATTCTTTTGTTGCTTTGAACTTTAGTCAGTCACTTACCAATGCAAAGTGAGAACAAAATAGTATCAGATCAAAATAGAAACATGGTACATACTGAAGTGAGTGAGTTTGGACTCATTCTTCAAAAGGTGCAACAGTGTATCAGGTTCAATAGTTGTTGTTTTTCTCCTAGCAATGACAATTCTATCCTACTGTTTGTGGCAGTTCTATACTGTAGCCCCCTCAGCACATGGAATTCCGACTGAAGTTAGTGTGGCTACGTCTACACTGGCCCCTTTTCCGGGAGGGGCATGTAAATTTCACGAGGCGTCGTAGGGAAATCCGCGGGGGATTTAAATATCCCCCGCGGCATTTAAATAAAAATGTCCGCCGCTTTTTTCCGGCTTTTAAAAAAGCCGGAAAAGAGCGCCTAGACTGGCCCCGATCCTCCGGAAAAGGGCACTTTTTCCGGAGGATCGGGGCCAGTCTAGACGCTCTTTTCCGGCTTTTTTAAAAGCCGGGAAAAAGCGGCGGACATTTTTATTTAAATGCCGCGGGGGATATTTAAATCCCCCGCGGATTTCCCTACGACGCCTCGTGAAATTTACATGCCCCTCCCGGAAAAGGGGCCAGTGTAGACGTAGCCTGAGTGTTTTTGCATTTGGGGAGGTGGTTCAGAAATGTCCAGATCCTAATATAAGTCACACCAAACGTCCCTCAGAAATGACACTCTAAATCTTAGGATTTATGGCAGTGTAAGTAACAGCCAAATCAGGGCTGCCATATTTAATGACTATTGTAAAATGTGGGGGGAGAGGGTGGGTAACTTCTTTGAAGAAATGTCAGAACTGTTACATAATTTTACTGAATTGTACTTATAATAATAAATGAAAACAAAACACAAAGATCTATATAAAAACATTTCATGGGTATTTGTTGTGCACCATTCTTATATATAAGCTATATATTTTTACCATGCATTAATTATGTTGATGAAGGTCCCTCTTATGAAGCTTGTTTTCACTACTGTATTAAGTTATAGGACTGAAAAAATCTGTTTTCAACTGATACTTATAACCAGATTGTGCAGAGATCTACAACGATGGATATAAACGCAGTGGATTTTACAAGCTGAAATCTTTCCAGAGCCCTAGTGAGTTCCTCGCCTACTGCGACATGTCAGATGGGGGAGGCTGGACTGTTTTTCAGAGACGTTCTGATGGCAGCCAGAAATTTGATAGGTAGGTGTTGCAGCCAGTAGTTATGACTGCAAACAAACCACAGGCATCTGAGACCAGGTGGGACATATTAAATATTAACTCTCAACCTATGCTTGTAAGGGACTTTCTGCAGTGAAAAGAGAGGAATGATGATTTTGTATGTAAGCCACTAGATTGGAATGCTGAAGTTCTTGGTTCAATTCCTGACTTCGCATCAGACTCTTGGTGTGGTCCTTGGTAAGTTACTAGGTCCAATTTAAAGTAATTAAAAATTAACCTAACTTTAGATATCTTTTGCAAACAATCCACTGAAGGCTTTGGGATTACTCCTGTGCTTTAAGCTTGGCACATACTTAAATAAGATGCGGAATAAGGGTCTTAACTTTTCTGTTCTTCCTCTGTAAAATGAAGATAATAGCAAATACCTACCTCACAGTGTTGCAAGGATAAAATCAAATAATGTTTGAGGTGCCCTGATATTGTAATGATGTGGGGTAGGTAAGGACCTAGATGCTGTACCTAAGAATGGGGACAATAGACCTTAATTGGATGTAAGAGTTGTTGCTCCTTTCCCCCTTTGTCATGTTCAAATGAACTATGGCTCCACCCCTCTTATAAAAACACTAGCCTAATTATTTGTAGTTACACCACAGGTATATTAATTTCTAACTACTATATAGTGGGTAATTTGCTGCACTGTATACTTCCTTTTACAACAGTGTTTGAGGTGATTCAGATGTTCATAGAACCACTGTCCCACTGTGTGTAACTAAGTTCATTTTCATCTAATTAATAAACACTGAAATAGCATTTGACAAGTTGAAAGTTATGTGTAAATACTAAACTAAGGTATACTCTTTGAAAAAGAATATGAGACTGGTAGGCATATATTAAAAATATCTGGAAAAAGGGGGCAGAGAGACTGTTCCATAGAAAACCATGTCTTTTCACTAAAAATTTGAAAACCAAAATAATTTGATTCAGAAATGACACTTCACTGAGTAGTAGTTTAGGTGCCTCATGCTTTTGTTCTCCTATATTGGTCAACTCCTGGCCTGGACTACATCTCTCATGATATACCACAGGAATGAGGGAATCTCTGGCTGTGGTGCATTATGGGCAATGGAGTCTGGCTGGTGAGCCAAACATATAGAGGAGAACGGGAGCATGAGGCAACTGAACTTTCTGTGTAGATTTTGTGTGCCTGGGTTTTGTTGTGGTTTGTTTTCTTATAACTTCATTTTCAGGAATGAAAAATTTAAACTTTCTATGGAAAGCATGTACTGCTTGGGGGATTATTGTGTTGAAAATCCATTTTTTCTGTCAATTTTTTTAACAATTGTCAACTAGTTTTAGTAAGTATTATTATCCTCCTTTTATAAATGGAGGAAACTTAGATACAAAGAAATTAGAGACATAGTAAGTCAATCCGAAAAAGGCAGAATGAGAAGTCAGTAGCTCAAAGTCCTGATTCCCAGCCTTGTGTTCAGTCTACCAGACCATACTGAGTCCCATATGGTTTTAATATTTTTACATAACTTAAACTCAGTTAACTTTAATGACGCTACATCCACTACACTGTTATCCATATGTTCTTGATAATCTTTGCAGTTTTATAACTTAGTCTGTAATAACACACTGTAGTAAATGAAGATCTTTTAAGGTCTGACACTTTGCTTACTCTTTTTACTTTTAGGGCTATGTCTATATTAGCCAGTTTTGCGCAAGAATATATGCAAATGAGGCATGAAATGAATATTGCTGTGCCTCATTTGCATACTTAATGAGCCTCTAAGTATGCAAATGAGGTGTGGCGATATTCATTGCCTTGCCTCTTTTGCATATGTTCTTGCACAAGACTGGCCAGTCTATACGTAGCCTTAGTGAGTACACCCTGTATTATCCATTATGTATAGCACAGGGCATGCTTAACTAACTTCTTTTAACAACTCTAAACTTCACTGCTAGTTATCACTACACTCACCAGTAATCAATACCTTAACATACAGAAACACAAGTGAATCTTGAGGCAAGTTCATTATTAACATATTTTCACGGTCATATATTGCCATTTTATGTGCCATATGCTAGCAGTGTATTTGATTTTATTGTTGGTTTATATCTACTCTATTTCACTACTGTATTTTTCCTTTTTAAATGCACTAACCACTGCTAGGAAAAGTTTTCTTCTGGAATCAGACTTCCTGAGTCAGTTGGAGCCTAAGTGTCAAGTTGTTCTCCACTTGACCCATGCTGAACCCAGTACTTGTATTCAGGGTTCATCATATTTGGGTTCCATTGCATGACTGTGTGGCATTTCTAGTACCCCCTTCACTTTAGTATCTGGGCTCCAGAGAGAGACTCAAAGTGGAAGAGCTAATCAAGATGCGTGCCCCTAGCTTAAGTGTGGGAAAAGCAGGGTGATGCTAACGCTTACAAAACAATAGCAGCTGTGTGAGTTTCATAAGCTACTAAATCAAATCACAGAGCATATTTCTGATGAAATGCTCTGTGGGACACACCTAAACATAAATTTTCATGCTATGGTCACCCAGTAAGTGTCTCTTAATTGTACAATTTTGAGAGATGGTTATTGGAATTTAAGCAAGTATGTTATGCAGAATGTCAGACAAGTGGTCATAAAGATACTTTCTGACCTTACAAACTATTTACTATAGCCATCTCAAGGCTGTGTTTCTGGGGGCTGTGCTTTAATTTGGGTTTCAGCTTGGGCACAAGAAACCTCTCACTTCTATACATACAAATCAGAAGTAACTTCATTTAAGTCAACAGAGTTACACTAGTTTAAAAAAACCCAGGGTAAGTGATGTCAGAATCATGCCCCAATAGTCATTCATTAGCAACTTGATATCATATAAGTCTAAGGTTAAATATGGTGTAGTTCCTAGAAAACTTAATACTCTCTGACTACGTCTAGACTGGCATGATTTTCTGCAAATGCTTTTAACTGAAAAGTTTTCCGTTAAAAGCATTTGCGGAAAAGAGCGTCTAGATTGGCACGGATGCCTTTTTCAAAAGTACTTTTTGCGGAAAAGCGTCCGTGCCAATCTAGACGCACTTTTGCGCAAAAAAGCCCCGATCGCCATTTTCACGATTGGGGCTTTTTTGCGCAAAACAAATCTGAGCTGTCTACACTGGCCCTCTTGTGCAAAAGCTTTGCGCAAAAGGACTTTTGCCCAAATGGGAGCAGCATAGTATTTCCGCAAGAAGCACAGATTTCAGACAGTAGGAAGTCAGTGTTCTTGCAGCTGCTTTTGCGGAAAAACTTGCCAGTCTAGATGCAGCCTCTTTGTTTATCCCAAATTATTAGTTTTAATTTTATTTTCAGAGTCTGGACTGACTATGAACAAGGTTTTGGGAATTTTGCTTCGGCAGATGGTGAATACTGGCTTGGAAATAAAAATCTTCACTATCTCACAAATCAAGGTAAGACTTGAACAGAAATATTTGTGTTCATTAGTGTCCTTTGCAATTCAGGCAGATTAGTTTATGCTTATTACTTTGCTCTTTCAGGACCAGGTTCTGATGCAGTTTGCACTAATGTAACTCCTGAGTCACACCCCTAGTCTGAATGGGATTGTTCAGAATTTACAACAGTGTAAATTACATCAGATTCTGGTTCTCCGTTCCTAATAAAGGATTCAAACTCTCATTGGATCAATGTGTCAATAGTGTGTAGATAGTCTCCACAGAAAATGCTTTGCAGTACATAAAGCCACCCTCCCCTAAACTCTCAAGTGATCCAGATCTTTCCTGAACTCAGCAGAACTGCATCGCTTTAACTGACTGTCATGAGCCTGTCAGTGAACTGCTTCAGTTCCATTTAATCAAGACTTGTAGTGGCCACATATGATATACAATCTGATTGACAGTGCGGGTCTGGGTGTTTTCTTATTTCTCCTATCTCTGGGAATGGTAACCTGAATCTTCATATTTTGAATAATTATAGACTGTTAATCTCTTAAACTACATCTACACTGCACAGTTATTTCAAGATACCAGAAGTATCCCGAAATAGCTATTCCGCATCTTTTGAGCACACCCGTTATTTCGAAATATAAGGGGCTCGCTATTACAACGTCCCTGCAAACCTCATTCCACAAGGAGTAAGGGACGTTTCAAAAGAGCAATTTTTTTCTAAATAAGTGTTGTGTAGACAGTGCACATTTTGAAACAAGCTATTTCGAAATTGACTCGAAATAAGTTACGCAATTTGCATAGCTCAAATTGTGTGGCTTATTTTAAGCTACGGGTGCAGTGTAGATGCACCCTTTTTGTCAACATATATACTCTAAGGACTTATCTGTACTTAAAACACTGCACTGGTGCATCTGCACCATGATAGCACTTCGGTGAAGATGTAATCTACAATTACAAGGCTGGTTTTCCCATCAGCATAGGTAATCCACCTCTGTGGGAGGTGGTAGTTACAATGGGAATTAGATTGGTTTGACTGCGTCACTCAGAAGTGTGCATTTTTCATACCCCTGAGCAATATAGTTATACTGACCTAATTTCCTAGAGTAGACCGCGCCTAAATTATTGGTTGTTAGTTCTTATGCTTCTATTTAATCTACTCATTCCTCTTCCCAAAACATTAAAAAAAAGCAGACTTCCTGACTTCTTCTGCTGACTGTGCACATTGGCACCATTGCCTTCATTGCTCTACCAACCTTTGAACATACTCTGTTCTTAGATCAGAAATCTAGGTCAATGGGTTGATGGGTATAAGTGCAAAAAAAAAAAAAAAAAAGAATTCTATGCATTCAGGGCCATATCTTCAGTTGGCTTCAATGTAACACCACTCCACTGAAGTAATTGGCATTATGTCCGTTCATACCATCTGAGAATTTGGCTCTGATTGTTTAATTTACTGATCTGCAGATGAGTCTAAGCTTCAAATTTTGTATTTGGATGCAAATACTCCCAAACTTTGAGGAAGAGAAAATCCAGGTTTCCTCAGCAACTCACAAATCTTACCAATGTAGGGGCTAACTGGTTTATAATGCAAAACTTGTACCAGGGTAACTCCATCTATTTCTGATACACATCAGCCTTGTATGTTTTGGGGAGGGAGAAATACTAGTAAAATTCATTTGAAATGTCTAAAGTTTACTCCAAGTATCGTGGATTGACATGCACTCACTTTTATAGACTTTCATGAGAAAATGTGACTTAACAGAGATGGTACATGATGGGGAACTTGTGGGTCATGTTCCTCTCCCCCATATTCGTTGCTTGGCTTGTCCTGAGTGTGCTCACATGGACTGACCATGTTCAGTAACACTGCTGATGCCTGATTCTCTCACTCTGTCATACTCTACTCTCCCACTGCCAACAGGCATAGGTTGTCCCTAGGCCTTAGCAATTATCTACCAATTAGCTTTTTGGCCTATGTGTGTGCTTCTATAAACCTTTGTATTTTCGCATTTACATATTTAAAAAGTTATGGGATAAATTCCCAATCACAACAATTTCTGTAAGAAACTAAAATTGTTCTGGAACCATCTTCTTTAAATTATACTCCTAAATTGTTGTAAAACAAGAAATAGCAAAAAATGCTTAAGTGGTGCAGAAAAAAAGAAGATAGTGTGGAATATATTTCAAGAATACAAATTATATTCAAGGTAGAAGAAACAAATACAGTTTTAATCTTTTTGTATGACACAGTGGCTTTATTCTGAGGAATGCTGAGAGCGGTTGATTTAATGTGAATAAACTTCTGTTGTTGTTTCTGTTAAGGTAACTATACCCTAAGAATTGATCTCTCTGATTTTGAAGGAGAACGGCGCTTTGCCCAATATAAAAGCTTCAGAGTTGCAGATGAAGAGGTAATATAACACTGAATATCTTCATTAATAAGTAAATTCTTTTTTTTAAATGAAAGCTTGGATTCTGTAGGCAATAAAAATATTTTAGCAGTCCATATAATTATATATGGTTTTCTAATATATCTTAGTAGTCAATTTTCTTCCTCACCAACATCTTGGAATTTTTGATTATGTAAGAACACATTGGTTTAAGTTCATAAATTGGTTTCACATTTTCATATTAATAATGTGGGTAACAACATTTTTACTTAAAATGTTCAACATAAAATGAAGTTTTTATTAAGCAAAATTAGCTCCATTACAGGGGAGTTAACAAAAAGAATACCCTTTGTTAACAAAGACCTTGATTCATCATGTGAATCATCATGTGAATCATCTGTGACTAATTTTAAACGTGTGTATCTTGTTAAAGTCAATTCACTAGGACTGTACATGGTTAAATTTAGGCAATACATAAGCATCTTACTGAATCGGAGCCAAATGGCCCAATTGTGCCTAATGCTGAGTGCGTCTTGGTAGGTTCTGAGTACAGACAGTCCCTGGGTTACATACAAGATAGGGACTGTAGGTTTGTTCTTAAGTTGAATTTGTATGTAAGTCGGAACTGGCTCCAGATTCAGCCGCTGCTGAAACTGATCAGCAGCTGACTACAGGAAGCCCTAGGCAGAGTTGCTCTGCCCCCGGCTTCCTGGAATCAGCCGCTGATCAGTTTCAACAGGCTGAATCTGGACTCCTG